TGCAGAGATAATAAAAGCACAAAAACAAGACAGCAAAACAAAATAACAAAAAAACAAGGACAAAAGAAAACCCTATAAATAGTTTGTTGACCTTTAGGAGTCTGATAGGGTGCTACACCCTGGCCCCAAGGTATTCCCCGGGGACTTCATTGCGTTGCTCCCCTTCCTGCTCTGTGACATGCCCTTAGAGTTTTTACCCTGGTGTGGTCGGGTAAGATTGGGCACAATTCCTGTACTGTGTCTCCAGGGTTGTCCCCTTAGCACTAAGGGGTTAGGGAGGGATGTCGTATTTTGTCTCGTGGTAGGGCTGGCCCAATGGTCCTCTCTATGCACTGGCTGCTCTGAGCAGGAATATCCTCGGGGCTTGGTGGACCAGAATGTGTTACACACTCTCTCTTCTTCCCTCTTCGTTTGCTTCCATGTGCTCTGATCAGACATGATCCTCTCCCTGAGCTATAGCCTCAGTGCTGTCCTCTGAAGTGCATTCTTCAGGGGGGGGTGGTGTTGGCTTTTGTAACAGAGATTACTTGTGTATAATTTGTTCATCCACTCTGTATGGTTTTCTATGTTAATCTGGGTGGGTACTTTAGAGAAACAAATCCACAAAAATTCATGTATAAGAGAGTTTTAAGGTTAAGTGCGCATAAAGAAAACATCCCAACCCAGTGCTGCCCAAGTCCACAAGTCCAACATTAACTCATATGTCCAACACCAATCCACAAAGTCCTCCTCCATCTCACAAAACGATGTAATGATGCTGACTGCAGGAGGAAATCCAAGTCAGTGAATGTGTAAGCATCTCAGCGCTGGCAGGGTCTCCACACAGCAGCTCCAGCTCACAGCGCTGCATCGGGGTAGGTCCTTGCGGCTTCTCCTTGGGAATATCTTGCAGGAAGTCAGACTTGCAAGCTGAAGCAGGAATCTGCTAAGGTAGCTGCACCCTGGTCCGACCATCAGAAAGCAAGAGACCCGAGAAATAGAAAGGTGAGGCTCACTGAGCCATTTATCCCTCTACCCTTAATTAACCCCACAGGTGTTTATCAGCCAGGTTAGTACAATAAACTAACTACCTCATTTTCCATATAACTCTAGATTTCTTAGTTTTGTATTTCCTCCTAGTCTAGCTTCTTAGTCCCTTTTCTGAGGCCAGGGTCCTTTCTTGTATAAGCCTTAGGTTATCGATAAGTCTCTAACTAATCCCTTCAACAAATCCCCTTTTCTAGCAATCGTTTTCCTTTCCCTATCCCTTACTTCACACCAAGTTAGTATCCACAGACAATTTCTGTTCTTTTCTCAAATTGACTAATTGTTTTTCGGTTGTTGTTTTCAACTTTTTCTTTAGATTTAATACTACCCTTTTAATCTCTCTTTATGATTAGGTTTTAAATTTCACCATCCCCTTCCCAGTCAGGCTCCCCGTTCTGTCTCCTTATGATCATAAAATCATTGTCCTCCAAAGCAAATTTATATATCATACATGAAATCCTAAGCATAATTTGTATCTTTCCATTACGGAGTCAACTTAATGCCTTTTAATATGTTTTGTGAGAGTTATTCGTGGCTTCATCAGGTTAAA